TAAAGGTTCTTCATGGAACCATAATGCCAAAAAAGAACATTTATTTTTATCAGTTTATTATTTATTGTTAATATTAAACTGCTACATGTCATTTCTGCCTCTAGATTGCCATCATGGATGTTAGACTTGACAGATCTTAAATAAGCATCTTAGTCTGTCAAAACCAACCCCACAGCTTCTTCATCCAACATAAAGCTGCACTTGCAAGAGAGAAAATATTATCTTATATTCTGTTAGCTGACTCAATGAAAACAAGTTCTATAATTTCTGAAAATCAATTTCAGTATATTTAAGATCTACAGTAAATGACTGTAAAATGCTACAGTATCACTATAGTGGGCAGATCCATTCTGAGCACGCTACACATTAAGATCAGCATTTAACATACACAATCCCACAGCTTCAATGCAAATGTTATGCCCCAAGTGCTTCCTCCATTTTACATCACAGCTGCGATTGCAGAAGATCAGGCCATGACTCTTTGATGTCTCCATCCTGAGACACCCACCCTCCACTCAGAAGCATAATAGGGAGGCTGCTTGAGCATTGCCTTAGGAGAAGAATGAATCACCACTACTGCAGCTCACTCACTTTCAGGGTCCTGCTGCCCGAGTCCTGCTCATATAGAGGTCTGTGTAATTGAAATCGCACAAGAATGACCCCGTGTCAGTTGTAGGAATTGAAAGGGTCCCAGAATCAAAAGTACAGTGTCACATTTCATGATATGTTAGTGTCATTTAACATTTTATTTTCTTCACAAAAATGGAAAGAAAAGAACATTGTTAAATGTATTTGTCTCCGTTGCTTTGTAAGTGAAAGCACAAAACACTGCACGGGAGAAAATCAGACCGTTCCATCATATTTAATTTCAGCAATTGAAAATATCACCAGAGGGAGGAATGAAGGGAAGGTGGGTGGGAGAAGGTGGATGAAGGTCAGCGTTGGTTTGGCAACAGCAATTTCATTTGAACGTGGGACCTAAAGCTGTGAAGATTATTATGTAAAATTTTGCTCCAGGTTATTTTGTTGGCTTCATTTGGGATGTGAGCACTAAATTATTAACAACGGACGGCATATTTTGTACAGTTATTTTAAGAGGAAAGGCAACCATTTAAATGCTACATGAAAACCTCATGATTAAGGTACTGTAGGCCTACTCTATGCCTTCTGCAGAATAAACTTCAGCTTGTGAGCTTGGCCGAAGTAATCAGAAACTTCTTGAAAGTAAGATAAAGCTTACTTTTGTCACAAAGAAAGTAAAAAATGCAAACAATCAGATGTGGCCCAAATTTCATCACTTGGACTATTTTTGAAATACATTAAAATACACATGGGCTCTGAATTGCCTCAGCAACTGAAAAAATATACACCAACTGTTTGATCTTGCTTTTCTGATTTTGTTGAATAATATCCATGAGACCATTGCCTATCCAGTGTTTTGCATTGAATGTGCACTACATAAGTTTTTAGAGGTGAAAATTGCTACATTTTCTATTGGAGTAAATATTGGCAGTTTATACTCGGGCAACATTTTTCACATACAAGTCTTTTAGGACTGGCTTCTTCTTAATGTCATTGGGTCTTGGTGTAGAATGACAGATCTGCTCTGATATGGTTATCAAGGGCAAACATGCGTATACCTCAAACCACCAGATTCATCCGTGCAGAAGAGCTGATGAAAAAAAAAATAATAATATTATATATAATACAAAAACGGTTCAACCACAGATGCTGATGGAAAAGCCAAAGTTCTGTTGTGCATCTTTATAAAACGCTTAGAATCATACATCATGCATCACTATGATATATGATGCATATACTAATGTAACACTCCAAAGCAGTACAA